TTTTTAATTTTATTTTATAAAATATCAGGAATGGAAATAAATAATGACTGACAGAAATCAAGATTTAATAAGACAAGTCCCCATGAAAAAACCCTGATATTTTGCTGATTTGATATCTATAAATAAATGTATCCATAACATAGATATGCAGATAGTGTAGAGAAGAAGTCAGCAACTTTTTGCTAACTATGTGCTAACTCAGGGTTTTAAAATCATTCAGTGTGTCAACAGCATACATATTTTTATACAAGTCAAGGTCATATACCTGTTCTATAAGATATTTTATATAGTAATATATATTATACATATTTTAGTATATATTAAAATTGAGACAGCTAAATATTTTCTTTGCATTGTAGCAGTTATTCATTTGGATTTCATGATGTCATTTGTGGCTGCATCCATTAAAAATTGCTTGGTATGCCATGTGTGGCATGTGTACCATAGGTTGCCAATCCCTGATGTAGAGCATAAAGTGAGATGGGCATGTACAGTTCAAATTCAGCTAAAGGTCATTGTTTACTTTTGCACACCTAACCTTAGGAAATTTATAAATCCATATTACAGGAAAGACTTGGATCACTAGTCTTACTTGGCAACTAATATAGAAGGCCAACTTAAAATTTAAAACAGGTTGTATGTATAGCTAATGACACCAACCTCACAAAAATTACCTAACTAAAAAAGCAACACCCAATGAATTCAGCTTGTGACCCTAATCTCCAGTGGGAGTTTTTAGGGTTAAACTAAGCTCTCTAGCCATGGTTAGAAACCAGTCTAACAGAAGGATTAACATCCTTATTAGTACATAAACTGATTGTTTGCTCAGAATAAAGAAGACTTTCCTTCGGTGAATGTGCTATTAAACAAATCTAATATAAATTTACTTGATTAGTTAAAGAAAGAGGACATTTTAAAGAATTCAGTCATTCAGTATATCAAAGTATCCTTTCTATAATGATTATAGTCTGGAGTGATTATAGACTGGTTAATAATTAATGAGTGAATTAAGTAGTGAATTTGATCCACACTTGGTTTCCCATAATTAGAAGTCTTATCAGGATTCATTAATGATAAGCACAATCTTAACAATATAAAATAAGCAGATGACACAGAAAGAAAAATACAGGAATTATTGGAAAAGGTATTAAGACAAAGTAAGACAAAATGACTAAAACACCAATTTCAAGAAGAGAAAATACAAGGTTGTCAGCAAAAGGAAAGGTTCAAGATGTGAACCAGTATCAAGCAAGTACAGAAATTTATTATCTAGGAAGTGTTTAAATAAAAGATACAAAATGAAACACTGAAATCTGAAGGGACAGTGAAAGATGCCTTTGAAAAGCTAAGCATAGTATTAAGAAACAAGAAAAATCATTTAGAAAAAAAGGAAAGATTGCTAAACTATTACATAATATTGGTCCTGCTATATGTCAGTGGATGCTGGAAAATCTCATCACAGATGGAAAAGGGGCTTGAGCCAATGAAAATGTGGTTCTACAAAAGGATGCTGAAATTCCAATGTACTAAACATGTGAGTAATGAAGAAGTTTTAGGGAAATTGAAAGATAAGTCAGCAATTAAACTTAGAATCAGAAAGAGATAATGGCCATTTTTAGGGCACATAATGAGGAAAGAGGGCTTGGAGAATTTGACATTCACATGACACATTGAAAGCAAGAGAAACAGAGCAAAACAGTGCATAACCTACCTAACACATTTGTGTAAATGGCTAGCAGAACAATGATTGGGAGAGAGAATGAAAAGACAAAATTTAGTAAGAGCTGCAAAGGATAGGATGTTGTGGAGAGTCATGATTGTCCAAGTCCTGAAGGGACATGGCACACAGAAGAAAAATCTAATGTATTTGGCTTTATAGTTCTATATAGTTATTTGTATTAAATTAGGGTTGCTCCCTGGAGAAATGCCTATTGTATTCTCTTGGCAGATCACCATTACTTGAAAGGAAGTTCATTTCTCTCTGGGTGTCCTTCACTTTTATCCTTGTGCAACATAATGCCAGTTTACATTTAAATAAATACTTATGAGTAAAACAATTGTTGAAGGCATGTATTTTTTTTTTAATCCAAATCGATCCTGATCTAGTGGCTCAGCTTCAGTCACTTTCTTATCATCATAAGGTTCCTCTCTTTGTGGTTTTTCTATAGATATTTCATCGGAATTTTTTGGATGAGTTCTTTGTTATGGTTCCTAGATGTTTTTGATTTTAAGTGCTGTACTAGATTGGTGTCGATGTCTCATCAATTTACAATTAAGCTGGCTAGATGCAGCCATAAGTTCTATGTTAACAGTTTATTTTCTCGCAATTCTTGCTTGTTGAACGCTCTTTTGGCTCTATGCTTTCCAGCTAACTTTCATCTGCAAAAACTTAAATCCAATTTCAATGGCTATCTGTTGTCCTCCTGATTATGCTTTTCTCTTCCTGCTCATTATTAATGTTTCTCTTCCTAAATGTTTCATGTCCATCAACCCTTTCTGTCTTGCATGGGGTGAAATCGATTAAAACAAAAAACAAAACATTATTTCTTATTAATATAAATGTTTCATTTAAAGTACACATATTTGAGTAGATATCATTGTTTTGTTAAGCATTGAAATTAAACTCTTGGCTGTTAAGCATTAATTTCCTTGTTTAAAGGAACAGGGATATATTCTTAAATGTATGTGTTCAGTAAATGTAACATATAGTATTAAGAAATAATGACATAAAAATAAGATGTGTTCGCAATGTAGTTGCTATTGGCATAAAAACTGATATCAATGTGCTGAGTTCAAATTCCTGTTGAGGTAGTCACTTTCACTTTTGCACAAATAACCTTAGGAAAGATATGAAACAATCTCTTTACCTAACCAGCAGTATCTTACATTTGGATGGCATCAAATCTAAGAGAAAGATAAATCTGAATCCAAAGTCTGTGATAACAGGAACAAACCCAATGACCCGTCTGCAGCAGGGTGGTGATATTTAACAGCTAAAACAAAAAAAAAAAAAAAAAAAAAAAGAAAAAAAAGCTGAAACCAGTGAAGCTGAATTGGCATCTAATAATCTTGTTTTTTTTCTTTCTTTCACTGTTGACCTTGAAATAAAAGTTGTATAAGAACTTTCAAAGCAGACTATACCTAATGTAATAAATTTGACAAATATTCATTTTCTTCAATATCTGTCTATATCTCCGAGATGAGGTATTATGATTATTTACATTATTCAGATTGTTATCCTCATCTGCATTGACATGTTCACAATGTTTCAGCTGTTGTACACTCCGGGCTTCTTCATATGATTGGAATTTCAAAACAAACCATTTATTCACCTAAAGAAGTCTGGAGTGTACAACAGCCAAAACATTGTGAATATGGCAGTGAAGATGAGCATAACAGTTCGAATAATGTAAATAATTCTTTTTCTTGTATGTGTCATATCCCTTCAGGATGTTAATGATTATTTCTCTCCATAATTTTCTGTCCTTTGCTGCACTTAATTAATTTTGTTATCTCCCATAAGCTGTGTTCCATCATGCATTTACTCAAGGATAGCTTGGTTATGTGTTGTTTTTCTCTGTTCCTCTTCCCTTCAATATGTCCTTTGAGTGTCAACTTTTCCAAGCTCTCCTTCCTCATTATATACCTGAGAAATGTCAAACTACTTTCTGATGTTAAGCATAAGTGCTCTTTTTTTTCTCTTTCTCTAAAACTTTGCTGTTGCTCACGTTTGTTTTATGGTATTCTCAGCATCCTTCTGTAGAACCATATTTCCAAAATATGAGTCTTTGTGCTAAGCAAAACTCAGATTTTAAGTAATTTAGTATAAAATTTGTGAAAACAGTTAATGAATTAATCTGATAAAGCTGAGGGATAGCAAGTGAGTTTGTCCTCATTAGGTGCTCTATATATATGGCCATATGCCAGACTATACTAAGCTTAAGTAAATACCTATTGAAACAAAAGTATTTGACATTATGACAGTGATTATGATTTGAGTCTAAAAAGAGAAATGCCTTCGGGGGAAAATGTTTTTGAAATTTAGAAATTAAAGGAAGAATTTTTTTTTTTTTTAGAAATTTCAGTGACTCCATTAATTATTTAGAAGCTTAACTTCTGGGCATAACTTAATTAATGCTTTTGTCACCAGAAATAGAAAAGAGTTGCCTGCCCTTCAAGAGTCATTCACATTGATCCAATCAAAACAGATTTTCAGACTGACAGTGGAGGAGTGAAGCAAAGTGGGGAACTATCAGTTGGCTTGATCACTTGATCAATGATCTCAAGATAACCTGGTTTGGTTTTATTGTGGGGGTGGCAGGTGGACGTGAAAAAGAATAGTGAATAAAGAATGAAGCACTTTATTATTATTCACAAATGAATAGAATTATTTAACATGGCAAATGCAGTTATTCAGAAAAGAAGGTGAAGCGTAAAAAAAAGAGAAAAAGAAGACAGATTATGCAAGAGATGCATAAAAAGAAAGACAAATAAGAGAGTGGGAGAGAAAGAAAAAAGTTATAAAATGGACAGAGAGAAAGAAAGAATGAATCGAGATATAAAAAAAAGAGAAAAGATGAGAGATAGAATGAAAGCAAGAGACGTATAAAAAATGTTAAAGAGAAGAAAGAAAGAAAGATAGAAAGAAAGAAAGAAAGGAAAAAAGAAAGAGATATAAAAAGAGAAAAAGTGAGATAAAATGAAAGCAAGAGACATATAAAAAATGTTAAAGGGAAGAAAGAAAGAAAGGAAAAAAGAAAGAGAGATGTAAAAAGAGAAAAAAGTGAGATAAAATGAAAGCAAGAGAGGTATAAAAAATGGCAGAGGAGAAAGGAAAAATAAAAGAAAGAAAGAAAGCAAAAGAGATACAAAAAAGGAAAATGTGACAGAGATAAGATGAAAGCGAGAGAGACATAAAAATATTAAAAGAAGAAAGGAACACAGATATAAAAAAAAAAGTGGGGAGGAAATGAGAGAGAGATAAAATGAAAGCAAGGGAGCTAGAGAAAAGAGAGGAAGAAATTAACAGCCATATAAAAAAGAATAAAATGAAAGAGAGGCAGAAAGAAATCCAGAGAGCAATAAATAAGAGGAAAGGAAGGAGAAAGAAAGAAAAATAGAAAGGTAAAGAAACAGAGAGTGCATGAAGGCAGAAAAAAGTGGAAAATGAGAGAGTGATAAAGAGAGATATTAATAGGGATAGAGAAAAAAATAGAAAAAGGATATAGATAGAATGTAAGGGATATAGTGATAATAAGTGAGAGCAAGAAA